ACCCACGGACATTCCATGGACAAGAGCAATATGTGGTTTCTTGTAAGTATGAATGTGATAGCAAAGCCAATACATTCTATAAACACCTTCAAGGCAAGAATCCCCTTCAAATAATATACATGTATACTCATGAGTTTAAGTGGACATATAGAAATTAATTAATAATTCAATAATTCTAACATATAATGAAAAAAATAAAGGGAAAATTTAGAACTAGTTACTTGTGTTTCGTCCCTCATAGAACATATGCAAATCCCCACCAGCAGAAAAAGTGCGACCAGTTCCCTATATATGTGCAAATGAATGAGAATTAAATTTGGTAATTTAACAATTAACGGTAACTGATAAGCCAAAACAAAAGGCATAATACATAATAATATGACCTCTAACTTGGATTCACTGTCATCTATGCTCTCCAACTTTGAATGTGTACAAGTAGACGCTTAAATTTGTATAAAATTTAATAAGTAATTGACCACGTAGGATGCCACATAAGACGTATATATATGTCTACTTGTTCAACTTTTATACAAGTTTAAGTGTTTACTTGTGTACAATAAAAGTTTGAGGGCATACATGCAAGTTGAAGCCAAGTTAAATGTCATATTTATACATAAAAATGCCTTTTAACTTGTCTTTAATTGACATATATTCCCTCCAATTTTGGATGTGTACCAAGTAGTCACTTAAACTTGTATATAATTGAATAAATAGACACACATGTATTACGTGACAATTTGCATTCTACATGAGGTCGTACGTGTATGTCTACTTGTGCACATCCAAAGTTGAAGGACATAAATGTCAGTTGATGTCAAGTTAAATGACACGATTATGTATCATGCCAAAACAAAATAATTAATTAGTACTTACCTTGATGATTACAAAATCAGCATTATCATCATTCTCATATTTCTCAAAGTTGTGCCCGAGCGTTGATGCCTAATTATATAAAAGAAATTTTATAATTAAGTGAACATGCACTAGCCATTTTGTAACTATACATATATTCATCATATAGTATATAGTATAAATATACATACCACTTTGCCTGATATATAGTTTAAATGATTAGGCCGATTCAAGGTGAGAATTCTAGCGCGACCGATTTCCTCAGCCATAACAACCTAGTGACAACCCAAAAAATATATTAAGCTACATTTATCAGACCAAAGATCGATACATATATTAATTATATCGAAGAATATTAATTCTGACATTAATAACATGTTTTAGTAACGTTGAAATTACCTCTCTATTTTGTCTCAATACTTGTTGAGGCATTGGAAACATTGTGGTGCTACTGGGAATAGATATTATTGCCATAGCAATACGTAACTTGAAGTAGTACTGGAGAAATTAAAAAGGAACACCTAGCTTGATTAAGTATTAATGGAGATGCATAAGAAATTAAAGGACTTTATATATTAAATTTTACACGCTCTAACCATGATTAATTAACATATTCTCCCTTTCTGTTCTCTCTCTAATCTGAAAGAATCATTGTAATAGTATTAAACGTGATGAATCTATTAATTTAATACTCCAGCTTAATTATAATAATTGAAAAAAATCAGCTATAGAATCTTGATTAGTTAATGATTTAAAATGTGAACGAAATTTGATGTGAATGGAACGAATGATTAAAAAATAATGAGAAAAAAGTTGGCTCTAAGCTGGCTAAAAGAATTTAGGGTGTGTTTGTATAAACGAAATGTTTTCCTAAAAAATGTGTAGCATGTCACATCATATTTGGGGTGCAAAACATACAAATTCTATTTTTTTCTTTTTGAGTTAATCAGTGATTAGTTGGATATTTTTAAGTGTAAATAAATATCATCAAGATATTGCTGATAGTTAAAATAGTCCTTCATCAAACTATTAAATTTATCAACGTGCGTTGTTGCACTCATTATTAGGAAAAATAGCTTTCCTACTTATGTGTCCATATATAAAACTAACTTTTGGATAAATTTATAAGGCAATTAACAATTTCAATTGGCCTGACAAAATCTCAGCTAATTTCCAATGAAGTGACCATCCACCATAGTACTAAATACTAATCAAAGGAATTTAAATATCACTAAACACCAATTCAACACTTTTTCTTCATTAAAGAATGTTGTGGCAATTTTTGTGTATTTAAATAGATTTTCCAATTAAGTACAGCTCATTGGATCCGTTATAATTATTTTATAACTAAAAAGAAAAAAGAGTTGAGGGATCCTTACAACTCCATGTCCCCTTAGAATTAGGGGTGTATAAAATCGAACCGAAAACCAAATCAAACAGCAAACCGAGTCAACCCGGAAAAAAAACCCGACTAGTGGTTTGGTTTTGAAAATAAATACCCGACTATATTTGGGTTGGTTTGGTTTTAACTAAAAAAACCAACTCGAGACCAAACCAACCTGACATTATATATATAATTTTAAAATTTTATTTTATACATAAAAATATTTACTTTGATATAATTTTAAAATATTTCTTATACTTTTTCATAGTTTTTATCTTTTAATATATTATTTCAAGTTTGAAACTTAGAATTATGAATGGGCCAATAAAGATTATAGTCCACAGATGTTGGTAATTATAATAAAGCTTAAATCAAAATCTAATTAATACTAATGCAAAAAGAAAATCAATTCAACACTAAGAATGACAATAATATTGAATATTTGTTCTTTAGTTTTACATTGGTTTAGACAATTAAAATACATAATCTAATTTTAATTTTCTTTAATATTTAGTCATGTAACTAATACTTATTAAACTTAATTTTAGCATGATTTAGTACTTTTAAATTATGATCATTTTCATTATGACTTGTTAATTTGCAATATTTGTTTTACGCGATTTCATTATTATTATTTTTGTTGGATATTTTAGTGTCATTAATCATATCATATTTGTTATATTTTTAAAAAACATCTTAGATAGTTGTATTTTGGTAGGACTAAAATAATATTTGAAGTACTAGTAAATTATATGTTTTATGAATATTTACCGGAAAAACCCGAAAAACCAAAAACCCCGAAAAAATCCGAAAAAACCCGAGGTTGAAAAACCCGAGTTTTATTGGTTTGGTTTGGTTTATAAATTTTAAAATCTGACACAAATGGTTTGGTTTGATATTTGAAACACCCGAACCAACCCGACCATGTACACCGCTACTTAGAATGATGCACGTTCAACAACCTCTTGCTATTGTACTTCAATCTCAAATTAATTGGGATCAACTATTAGGGATGTCAATGGGACGAGACTTAGGTCAGGTTGATGTGAGTTTAGAAAATTCTGATCGAACATAGAGACGAATCCTAAGTCGGGGTTGTGATGCGCTCTACTTGAACATTTAAGGTGCATATGGTTCACAACACCTCATTTGTTATCAGTTAATAAAAATCTTAATCTTAATTTTTTTTTTTGGGTGCGTGGGTGGGGGTTGAAATTGGCTATATTTTATGTTCAATGTCGCTGTGAATGTGTTAGTTCATTTAAAGATTAAGATTCATCTCTATCGAAAGGGGTTAAAGTCAAATTATTATGTGGACCAATCATAGAGAGATCGATGATATATTTGGTACATTTGAATACATCGTTGCTGGTAAAAGTAGTGGGTCACAGGAAAATAGTGTTCAATATGATATACTACAATAAAAATAACTTTTAGCAGCAATAAATAGACACATTAATAAAGAGTGCTAACATTAGTTAAGTGTCATTAGATTCAATGTCGTCGCTAAGGGCTTTAAGGACATATATAGAGTGCTAATTGCTGCTAAAAATACATATTTAGCGGCAATTGAGCTATTGCCGTTAATTAATTTCCTCTAAAGATCATAAAATGTAGTGACTGTCAAAGATGTTTTTGGGACGCACTTTGGGTTTAATCTAGAACAAAATTTACGGCAAGTTCCTAATGAATTACAATTCATTACTATCAACAATAAAAAAAGACTAATCGTTCACTATGTAAGAATACTTAATATCAAACCGGATTAGAATGTACCATCAAAAGATATGGTGCAGTGGATGAAGTTGCTCATTCCTTAATTAGAAGTTTCAGGTTTGAATATGCAAAAATACATGGTAGAGAGCGCTTTCTCTGAATGAAGTCCTACACAATGCGAATTTAAAATAATTGAGCTTCAATACGAATATCGAACATTCAAGAAACCAAAATAAAAATAAAAATCAGATTAGAATATGTCTCAAGATGCGTTGCACTTTCTTATTGGCGTATGAGGAAACTAGTTTACCCAGATTTCGACATACCTAAAGTTTTATATAAAACAAAAAAATTGATGTTCAAGTAATACTATTGTATGGTAAAATTTATTATTGTGAAAAGGATTGTTGTTCTATAGAGATGATATTGTTTTAGAAAGTTGTAAATTTTATGATTAGGCTCATTTAAGTGGGCTAGTGAAAAGATGGTTCTAATTAAGATGATGTTATCATACTTATCTCTTATTTCTAGGTTAAAGAGGTTGTATGCATTGAAAAGTTTCGCTCCTCGTATGAGATAACACTATGAATGGTGAAATGTTTTTGATAGAGATTATCTTGATTTTGCTAGTAAACAAAGAAATATTTGTTTGGATTTGTGTGTAGATGGATTGACACCATTATCGATTTGTGACACACCCTATTATATTCTTGTTGGCATGTCTTACTTACTATGTACTCCCTGTACGTGACACTTTTCGTATTTCAAAGTTTGACCAAAATCAACATTTCAAGTGAACAATCTCGAAATAAAATTTTGACAGTTTTTACTTCCGCATTGATTGTTTGCCTGGTTTATATTACAGAATCTAAACTCGTAGAGCCTTGTTGATTCTACATTGCTAGAAACCTGCCCTGTTTCCTCTTTTCCTCCAACAACTTGTTCATATCAAATTAATGTAGTAGTAATAAGTTTTTCATCATGTCGAAATTCAATTGGGGAAAAAAATAAAAAAAATATAAACATAAAAGAAGAGAAATACAAAATACTATATTGGGCGAGCAAACTGAAGGAGTTGTTGGTCTTGTTGGAAGAAATTCATATCACTTTCTTGTAACGTCACAAGCGCTTCCACTCCTCCATCGCGGCGGTTTTGACTATCCAACAGACAAATGATGTTGCAGGGAGGAATTAGAAAGCACACTCTATGTGGCCTACCCCATCCAAAGTCTACGTTATAGAAGGGGAAATTGCATAAACTGCTACATCTATAGATATCAAAACCTTGTCTGTTAAATACTTGATCCACTTCTTTCATTAATTCAAATGATTCAAACGCCAATTTGTTAGGATCAACAGTATTGAACCTGTTACGGAGTTTTTCTTTCCCTTTCCTTAGTTCAGCAACGATTCTGGGTAGCTGCATATCTACTTCCTCTTCTATTGATGTGGAAATATAACCAGGAGCATTTCCGATAGTGTTGAGGGGTAATGGTGGACGCATGTTTGCAAATAGTGTGAATGTTGATGGTCGAAATGATGTATTCCTCTTTGCAGCTGCTGCAGCACATGATTTGTAAAGAAGTGCAGATACACTTTCAACCCTGCTAGGATTTTGTAATATTCCTGATCCTGAATCAGCAATTTTGTCCTTGAGAGTATTCAATGTTGAAGCAGAGAAAAGGTACCTGTTGGTTTTAATTTGTGAGTAGTAATTAGATACATAGTTATAACGTATTTGATTAAATTTTAACATGTATACATATATACCTTCTAGTCACATAACGTTGTTGTACTACTCCATCATGTGGTAAGTTGTTCACCTCTGATATGTTTGAACTAGCATTATGAATAGGTGGGAAGAAGGATGCTCCATCGAATCGAGGAGATGGTTTTGCATGATTCGGGTCTTTAGCAATAGCAGCCCAGTCACTCAAAAACATGGCACCACTACAGCCATCGGCAATCTTGTGAGAGAAGCAAACACTGACTGCTATTCCACCACAATCGAAATGAGTCAATTGAGCCATTACTAACCTACCATCAAAAGAATTACTATTTCCAAAAGCCAATCCTTGTGGATATACACAATTTTCACCACTCCTATCATTATCACACGAATTGACAACATCAGACATACGACAATCAACACGGACATTCAAGAACTCAGCTCCCCTATCGTTGCAATCAACATAGGCATTGTCTTTTAACATCCCAGCAAAGGGATAGTAATATGTCAATGCTTTTGAGAGGGATTTTTGAAGAAGTTGGGATATGTTATTAGCAGGGATTGTTGGTTTAGGGTAGAAAAAGACTGTTGAAGCATACTCATTATTAGCATAACAATCAACCAATGATAGATTGTGACGTTTATGTGAACAAGGAGTTGGAGAAGAGGGCTTTATTATCCTTTTCGACATGGATACAATTCGTGATATTGAACCCATCTCTATACTTTTGGCAAAATTTGATATTCATTCTAGTAACTAGTGTTGCAACTTATATATACAACTAGCTGATTAGAGTTATGCACGTATGTATTAGTGATCAGCCAATCTATATATTATTATTTTCATATCCAGAGTTTATTTATTAATATATTAGTTATACATGTATGAGTATTCCACCTTCTATCCTTTATAAAATAATATACATATATTAGTTATGCAGTTTTGTAAACTCCAACCCAAACTAAATATTAATTTAAGGGAAAAAAACTTAAATATGTCACTCAACTTTGAGAAAAGACTCATTTATGTCATCCGTTAAAGTTTGGCTCATCTATGTCTTGTCGTTAGAGAAAAAATTCATCCATGTCATTATTTTTTAACTCCGATTTTGTTAAATTATTTTTTACCTCAACAAGACCCGAAACAACTTTAAACACTTTTAAATAGGGGTTTTGAATTAAATGTACTCTTTTTACTTCTTATTCCTAAAAAACACCAAGAACACATGAAGAGCATCAAGAACTCCCAAATTTTCAACTTCAATTATAATTTTTTTTTACACGTGGTCAATTATAATTCTGCCACGTTATTAATTATTATTTTAAAAAAAAAAATCAAAATTCTAAAATAATTTGTGGAGTTAAAAAAACCGATGGGTAAGAAAAAATATTTTTTTTAAAATGGAAATCAATCCCAAAAATTCAAAAATTTGTTTTAATTCATGTTTTTGTTGTTGTTTTTGACACTAGATCTTTGTTCCCTAGTGTTTTTTTAAATCTATGTTCAAAATTTCAAGTAATTTGGAAATGTGGAGAAAATTCTACCATTAAATAATATTGTTGAACTTTGAAACTTTGAGGAAATTTCAAGTGAGTCTTGAGTTAGTTTGAATTCAAGCTCAAAAAATATTGAGTTTTGATAACTAGTTCGGAGGGAAGCTACTCTTGGAATTTGAGGTGATTTCGTAAAAAAATGAAGAACTTGAAAATTTGGGAGTTCTTAATGTGCTTCGTATGTTCTTGAGGAAGAAGAAACAACAAAAAAAATATTTGATCCAAAACTCCAATTGAAAAATGTTTAAAAGTTGTTTGGGGTCTCATTAAGGTTAAAAAAAAATGGTATTGCAAAATCAAAGTAAAAAAATAATGACATGAATTAATCTTTTCTCAAGCAGCGATGACATAAATGAGTCAAATCCAACGGATGACATAAATGAGTTTTTTTCTCAAAGTTTGATGATATATTTGAGTCTTTTCCCTTAGTTTTAGACATGAATAGTTTACCTCTTAATCAATTACCAAATATGATATAACTTTTACTGAATTTAATACCTGCATCACTCACCTCCAAACCATCTATCAAATTACGTCTTATAGCTAATGATTAGTTAATTACTCCCTCAGTTCTTTTGGCAAAAATTGATTATTGTGCACCAAGTTTAAGAGGGATTTTTAAAATTTATATTATTAAACATATCATAATATTTGTATGTCCATAAAACTTGTGATTTAATATATGCCATAACATTTTTTTTGGCTATGAAAAAATAAAAAATTAAAGTTAATTATTTTTTAGATGACAAGTTGTCAATTATACACATAATGGTCCGTGATTTGAGTAGGCTGAGAGAATCAAATTGGAAATTATGAAGATAAACTTATGAATATTATTTAGTGGCTCGTGCCTTAAACAGAAAGAAGTGGATACTTAGTGGGCAATAATCATTAACATCAAACGAGTATATCTAATTATCTTATATAGTTTGTACTTAAATAACAACTACTGTGCTGCACATTTGTTATACTCCATATTATATTATAAAGACATGAATATTAAAATGCTAAACGTTGACGATGTGAAGTCAATAAGAATAAGTCATATATTCAACTATCATTTGCCTCATATTTAGTGATTTTGTTATCACTTTTAATGTTGATTTTATGAATATACTTATGTTGGTTGTTTTTTATGGGTAGGACAACAATGAAGGATTTAGGGTGTGTTTAGTATGAAGGAAAATATTTTTCAATTTTCTCATGTTTGATTGGCTTAAATATTTTGAAAAATATTTTTCAAATCAATTTGTTTTCCTCAAATTTAAGAAAAATGACTTCCTTAAAAAAGTATCATTTTGAACTTCACACTTCAACTTTTCAGCATAACTTAAATCTTGGGTATTGATTCACAATATTAATCCTATAGATCAGACTCCTGATTCTAAATTTGAGACCCGACTCCCGACCTCGATTCCAGACCCAACTCCCAAGTTTCGAATTGAGTCGGGTCAGATCTCGAGTTAGAATTGAATTTCGGATTTAGTGTCATGGTCGGGTCTCAGGGTCAAATCTCGGGCTGTAGTCGGGTCTCGGGTCGGGTGTCAAGTTGGGTCTCTGGAAAGGTTTCGAGTTGTATGTCGGGGTTAGGTCTTGAGTCAAGGTCGGCTCTCGGGTTCGGTTCGGTTCGGATATCGAGTGTCGATCAAGGTCGGCTCTCGGGTCGGGGTTGGGTATCGGGTCTCGGGTCCGGTTAGGATATCGAGTGTCGGTCAAGGTCCGGTCTTGATCTGGTTGGGTCTCAAGGTCATGAGTCTCGGGGTCAAGTCAAGTTTGGGTCTCCATTCGGGTCTCGGGGTCAAGTCAAGGGCGATTCTCGATTTTGGGTCTCAAATTGGGGTTGGGGCCGTCACGTCACGGGATCAGGTCTTGGGTCGGGGTCGAGGTCACGTCCCGCGTTGTAGTCGGGGTCGGGTCTCAATCAGGGTTAGGTCTCGAATCGGGTCTCAGATCGAGGTCAGGGTCGAGTCTCATTATTAGGTATCGAGTTAGGGTCGGATCTTGATCGAGGTCGTGTCCCGGTCGAGGTCAGGTCTCGGGTTGGGGTTTGGTCTTGGGTCAGGTCTAGGATCGGGGATTGGGTTAAATCTCTGGCCAGGTTTCGAGTTGGGTTTCAGGTCAGAGTCAAGGTCGGGTCTTGGGTCTAATCATGTCGGGATTAGGTCTCATGTCGAAATTGGGGTCAGGTCTCGGTTTGGGTTTGGGGTCATGTTCGATTCTCGAGTCTCGATGAAAGTCTGATCTTGGGTCAGCGACAGGGTCAAGGTTGGGTCTTGGGTCAGGGTTGGGGCAACTTCTGGGTCGGAGTTGGTTGTTGGGTCTTGGGTCGGGTGTCAATGTTGGATTTTATTTCAAAAGTTGGATCCTGAGTCGGATGTTGGGGTTGAGAGTCGGGGTTGGGTCTCGGGTCGGGGTCGGGTCTCGAGTCGAGGTTGGGTCTTGGGTCGGGTTTAGGTTCGGGTGTCGGGATCATAATTCAATTCGAATGCCAGGTCTCTAGCGAGGTTATCGTATCCTGATTCAGGTCATGGTCAATGTCGGTTCTAGTTCAAATGTCGGGACCCATGTCAGGAGTGTGATCAAGTTTCGGATCGAGTGTCGGACTATATTGTAAAAATTATTTTCTACTCTCTAGCCAAAAACAAAAGATATTTTCTAAAAAATATTTTTCACTCACCAATCATGCACTACTAAAAAATATTTTCCAGAAAATATTTTTCACTCACCAACCAAACATGAAAACATTTCCTTTCGTACCAAACATACCCTTAGTGAAAAAAAAAGTATAATTGCACTTTGAAGTTTGAGTAGAAGCCATAAATACCAACATGGGTTGTGGTGCACTGGTGGGAGTGCTTCACCCTTAACCAGATGTCTCGGGTTCGAGCACTGGGTATGGAGAAAATCCTATTGGGAGCGCCACCCCCGAATGGGCCTTGCAGAGCGCAATTCGAATTTAGTCGGAGCTCCAATGTGGGCTCCAGACACCGGATGAGAAACCAAAAAAAAAAAAGAAAAAACCATAAATCATCACAACTTGTCAAAAGTTGTGCTCCGTTTAAATGAGGGTATTTTTCGTCTTGAAATTTTTAGAAATCCTATATTTACGTCCTAGAATGCAGAGAAATCGTAGATTTTATCATCCTCTTTTTGTTTTAATCATTGTATAGATGTTATGATCAGTAGCTAAACTTCAAGTTGGACTTGAAGGTTGACGTTTGAGAATCGTATAGATGTTATGATCGATAGCTAATTATTTAAGCATATGATTAGATAACTCAATCAGATTGTTACATTACCATGAATATGATCCTAGATCTTTATCTCATCTGAATTACCTAAAAATATATTTCCAGCTTGCTATTAAATCTTGTATTAATTTTTTGACATATCTCTATAGAATCGATAACTGAACTAATTAACCTCCTATTTGATTGAGTGTTGTGAGTATTAATTAATTAGTAGGATCGTGCCTTAAACAAAAAGAAATGGATACTTAGTGGGCAAGTTGATCCATGCATACAATAATCATTATTAACAACTATATAGTTCTTCCTTAGACAACAACAACTACTAATGTTGCTCATTTGTTCTCAAATACACTAATTATATTGTAATAGAGGTAAATAATTAGTTACTCCACCAAGAAAATGTAGTAATTAAAAATATTTGCTGCCATCTGATTAATGAACTGGGAAAGTAATGAGATTATTATAAGGTGAGGTTTTGAACCCTCGTTAACAAAATAGAAAGTTCAGATAACTAACCAACTAAGCTATTAAAATTATCGATGCGTCCAATTGGAATTCATCCGAGGAAACGTGCCAAGGAATACATAATTAATTAATACTATATATTATCGTTGAATATAATGCACATTGCTTTAATAATTGAACAGGCACGATTTGTGCATATCCTACAATTTTTTCGGATTAAACAGATCCTATATGCATACATGTGTCGTCATTTAAACAAATGTAAGGGATAAACCATTTTAAAAAAACATTAATGTATTGATTAATTAATAATTTTTTTTAATTGTATATCCTTTGCTATACAATGACAACGTGTTTCAACGTGGTAATATTTCATAAAATAAATAGTAAGTTGAATAACAAAAAAAAAGACCTACATGAGATTATTAAGTACATTTTTCTACCCGTGTATTTTTTACTATTTTTGTTCCTAACATTAGAGATAAATTTTTGCTAAAAAACATAATTTTACCACTCATTTTATACCTAGCCAACTCATTGAAAAAATACATGGTGGAAAAAACTATTCTCACAGAAATATGAGAAATTTCTTAATTTTTCTATATGAAAACAATATTAATATTTATTACACTAAATTAATGAGACAAATGGTATTAGAAACGAATAATCATTGGGCTGAAGTGCAAACCAATACTAGTTGTAATAAACAAACTTCAACTTTTAATAATGATTTTTTAATTTAATTAGCACGACAAGAAAAATCTCAATTATTTCTTCAACCCTGTAATGGCAATTAGTGGGCATGCACTCACAAATATCATTTCTCATTTTCCTTGAAGGAGCCAGAAAATTGCCTGATTTTGTGGAGCAAAATAATGGCCATTATGTATGCAAGTTGTTAAAAATACTTTCTTAAATATATTTCGGACCAGTGTTAATTTTTCTTTAAAAGTTGTCTAATATAAATATTTTTTGTCTTCATTAAATATTTAACAAATTCTAATTAGGGATGGACATGATATGGTAGATATCGAATCAAGTAATCTATATTTGATTAGTACTCTATCTAGATTGAAATGTCTTTTTATGTAGTTAATTAATGAAGAGAATTTCTTGTACTTTCTTTTGAATATCTGTACATGTATTAATAACAATTTACCAAAAAGAAGAATGCAAGAAGGTCATATTCTCTATATTCTACTATAAATCAGGTAGGGGTGCACATACCAATGGATTCGGATTTTTCAAATATCACACTAAATTATTTGTATCAAATTTTTAAATTTATAAATCAAACCAAACTAATAAAACTCGGGGTTTTTTTTTTGGATTTTTCAACCTCGGGTTTTTCAAATATCAAACCAAACTATTTGTGTCGATTTTTTTAATTTATAAATCAAACCAAACTATTAAACCTCGGATTTTTTTTGGATTTTTCCAGTAATGTATTCATACAAACATATAATAACCTGCTCCAAATATTTCTTTAGTCCAACCAAAAATACTAATAAAATCGTATAAAATAAATATTACAAATCAATAAGTCATAATGAAAATGATCATAATTTAAAAGTACTAAATCATGCTAAAATAAGTCTAATAAGTATCAAATACACGATTAAACATTAAAGAAAAAATAAAATTAGGCTATGTGTTTTAAATGTCTAAACCAATGTAAAACTAAAGAACAAATATTCAACATTATTGACATTCTAATTAGTGTTGAATTAATTTTTTTTGTTAGCATTAGTATTGATTTGATTTTGAATTGAACTTTAATAGAGTTACTAATATGTATGGATTATAACCTTTATTGGACCATTCAAAATTCTAAGTCTCAAGAAACTTGAAAAAAAAGATAAAAATTGTGAAAAAGTATAAGTAATATTTAGAAATTATATCAAAGAAAATACTTTTGTGTATAAAATAAATTTTAAAAATTATAAATATAATGTCGGGTTGGTTTGGTCTCTGGTTGACTTTTTTTAGTAAAAACCAAACCAACCTAGGGAATAGTCAAAAAAAATTTCCCAATATATACCAAATCAAAAGTCAAACAAAACCATTAGTCAGTTTGACTCGATTTTCGATTCGATCTTGTACACCCCTAAAATCAGGTAGTGATAATGAAAAGAAAAAGTGTTAGTATAATATAATTGAGATGTTTTTCTTTTAAAGAAAAATTGAAGCCATAATTATCTATTATATGAATATATATATAAGGTGAAGTGGGACAAATGTGGTTACCCATTACCGTACCGCAAAACTTTTTAAAATACCCAAACCACGCTGAATTAATTTGGTGTGATAATAATTTATGTGTCTACTTGTATCCATTTAAAATTGAAGGACAGAGATGACAGTTGAAGCCAAGAATTATGTATTATGCTAATATAATAATAGGGATTATTTTTGCCACTTTCTCTTGAATATATGCTGTAGGACTATGAGGCTAGGAGTTGGTATAAATAAATTCATACTCAACCTTTCTCTACATATATTATATCATACAATCCAAAGTTTGAAAGCGCATTTTCACTCCAACAAAAATGGTTACTCCAAAGTCACACATTGTGTCCATGTCCAAGAAGATTATTAAGCCTTCTTCTCCCACTCCATCTTCACTTAGGCGTCACAATCTCTCTTTCTTGGATCAGATTGTTAGTCCTTTACATAATCCACTTGCTTTCTTCTATCCTAAACCCGAAAACTCATCGTATGACATAAACCATATATCCACACTTCTTCAAAATTCCCTGGCAAATCTATTAACCTCCTATTATCCATTTGCTGGAACTTATAACGATAACATATTTATCGATTGTAACGATGTAGGAGCTGAGTTTTTTAATGTTCAACTCGATATCCCCATCTCTGAAATTCTCGACCATCCTTATTATAATGATGATATAAATTTAGTTTATCCACAAGGTTGTCCTTGGAACACATATGACGGAACTTTAGTAGTCGCTCAACTAACACTTTTTGATTGCGGTGGAATAGCAGTCAGCGTATGCATCTCACATAAGGTCGCGGATGCATATAGTGTAATCAAATTCATTACTGATTGGGCTAATTTAACTCGTGATTCGAGTCATGCAAAACCGTCTATTCTGTTTGATGGAACTTCTTTTTTCCCACAAGTTACTGATACTTCAACTTTACCTGATTTTGATGTTAGAAATGACGGAAATTGTGTGACTAGATTGTTTCATTTCTCGTCGTCTGGATTAGACAAGCTCAAAATCATAGCAGCTGCAGAATCAGGCGTTGAAAATCCGAGTCGTGTTGAAGTTGCTACAGCACTTATACATAAACATGCCATGATTGCTTCAGGTTCATTTAAACCATCTTTACTCTGCCACATCATGGGTCTTCGCCCACCGTTGCCTTTAAACAGCATCGGAAATGCTTGTAGCTTCTTTGTCACGTCAACACAAACAGAAGATGATATGAAACTGTCCAATTCAGTAGCTGTACTAAGAAAATCTAAGGAACAACTTCGCGAAAAATTGAAAAATGTGACTCAAAGTGACATATTTTTTAAAGTGCTTGAAATAACGCAACAGGGTGCAGAGTTACTGGAATGCGTAAACAAGGATGATGTGTATAAGTGTAGCAGTTTGTGCAATTTCGGACTATACAATATGGATTTTGGATGGGGGAAGGCCATAAGAGTAAGCTCGGTGAGTCGCGGAGTGAAGAATCAGATATTTTTCATGGATAGTCCAACTGGAAATGGGATGGATGTAATGGTAACTTTGGATGAAAAAGAGATGGAAATATTTCAAAGTGACAAAGTCATCCTTGAATATGCTTCTCCAGTTGTGAAAATGTAATTTAATTCTGTTATCTTTCCATTTTCTAAAAGTTCATCAACCTAAGTTTGTTTAATTATTTGACTTCATGTTAATGTGATTTCTCCTGTATTTCTGATAACAATTTCCAACTCATATTTATTATCAGTTTCAGTATTGAAAAAATTATTACTCAGTCGAATAAAATAACTAAAGAGTACTTTACAGTTATTCTAAATTCTTGATTGGTTAATAAAACTATCAATTTGTCATACAACAAATTTTGTGTGTTTAGATAAAAACATATTGAAGGAGGAAAGGAGCATACATTTGGAGACTTATCCTTGTCAATGATGGCAGCCCTTATTCCCTTCAAAAATAAATCGAAGAATTCTATTTTAGATTTCAAATGAGAATTAAATAGCAAATTAAGTGTACCTCTTTGAGAATATGTTTGCTTAATTTTTTTAAAAATAAATTACCTCATATAAATCATACGATATTAAAGTTCGTAATGTGTTTATTGTAATCCTAAATTCTCTTCTCAAACATTCAGATAGGATTTGGGTCCTTCCTTCTCGTATCTGAAAAAATAATATAGAGAAAATGTAAGATTTGCAGTTTAATAGATATGCATAAATTCTTTGTATGAATTATTAGGACTAGTTACCGATCTCAATGTTATTTTCAGTCCAATTGGAGATGCTTTCTTTATACTTTTAAGCACTGGCATTATCCAATCATTTCCTCTTTTGCCTGCTTCAACTTCCTGAAAATTAAAGTTATATCAATTGTATGTTTTATTTTATATGATTCCGTTTTATCATATATAGTATAATCAATTCTTACCAATGAATCCAGGATCTCCTCCACAGTTTCCCTGGAGAAACAATCATCGATTATGGACAACCTACAATTGATTTATGAAAAATGCATCAGTGTGAATATCCTCACAAGAACAGTTTGAAATCGTGATACATTACTTGCTCAATACACTTGTTTCATCTACTTGAACATTAGTAGAGAATTCGTCGATGACAGATCTAATATTATCCTCTTCACCACCGTTGTTTATGCTCAGTAAATCTTCTCTAACTGAAATAATTTGTGTGAAGGTACAAAATGAGTTGCTAATCCAGCAGCAACCACTTCTTTACCCTTCAATTTCGCTCCTGTTAAGCCCAAGTATTCTCCTACATACATTTAACAACATCACACACACACACACACACACACACACACACACACACACACACACACACATATATATTCAAATTTTAAAAATACATGTTCTAACTTACTTACCAAGTCGACCTGGAAGGCGTGAGAGTATGTATGATAAGCCACAGTCCGGGTGATGCCCTAGATTTGCTTCAGGAGTGGAACAAAACAGCAAATGAGAAAACATTAAGATTAATAATTTACTAAAGATGTCGTTATTCAAATCATAAAATTGGTACTAACTGTTTTCTCAGTGACGATAGAGAATTTTGTAACATCGCGCAAATTGAAATAACTAGGAAGAAGCTAAGAGGTTGAAATAGTCATTTTTGGAAATAACGAAAATCTGGAAAATTTGTTCAAGTTAAGAAAAGTTGATTTTTGGGCCAACTTCAAACGGCCATAACTCTTAGCTCAGGATGATTTAGGTGTACTTCCAGGTATGTTTGCAAAGCTCTTGGAATTATCTTTCCAACGCAGCCAAGTTCGCACAATTCCGAGTTTGTATGAGTGAGATATGCCCTTTGGAAGTTGGGCTGTTGGATTAAGGAAATGTCCAATCCGGATTTTAAAGGGTAGTTTGGTCTTTTCCTTACCCTTTTATTTTAATTCGTTTTTGGTAATTAATTAGGGGTCTAAGCTGAATTAGATCAGTTTAGACATTTACCAAATAGAGCTAGGGTTTTGGAGGAAGAACGCAAGAAAAGAGAAAGGAGGAAAAAGCTAGATTCGTCGTCGTCGTAAGGAATTGCTTGCGAATTTCGCCGAGGATTCAATCAATTAAGGTATGTGAGTCTATCTCAACGTTGGGTTCGTTCACCCACGTGCCAAGCATGTTTGATTCAACGATTTCATCTAAAAAAGATTGGATTTTGAATGTTATTGAATGTGGTTCTTGAATTACTTTCGTTCTTGAACATGAGTTGAGTTCTTAGGAGTTCTTGATGATTAAGTTGTTAGTTCTTGAGTTTTTTGAGTTTGATCCTTGTGTATATGATTTGGGTACATAAATCTAAAGTGAATTTGAGAAAAAGAATCGGATTAAAACGATTTAGGATCAGAAAACGAGGTAAAAAATTCGTTAGTTGGTGTCTGTGGGAAGGCAGGCGCGACGCGCCCCCATAGCGCCAGGCAGCCAGGGGCGGCGCGCCAGCAGTGCGCCAGAATGGAGCCTCAGAAAGGTTGGGGGTGGCGCGACGCTCCCCGGATGCGCCCCCAAATCGTCGTTTTTCACCCAGTTTTCGTCATTCAGTCCGTTTAAGTTATTCTAAAGTGTATTAACACTTTCCATTGATTCTAACTAATCTAAATGATTCTAAACATCTAGAAATCATCCAGATACATAAATCATAACCTTGAATTCATAAATTTAAATTCAAGGAAAGTCAAGAGCCAAGTCTATCAAATTCTTAGAGTCTTTTCAAGAAGTCTTTTGCAAATGCTTATAACTTTCTTTTAAGACTTAAAGTTCAAGTTGAGTAAAGAGTAAAGAGTAAAGTTTGAAGTTCATTTCTTCAAAAGTATATGGGGACTAAGTATTCCCAAAGAGATTTAAGATGTTTTCACATTTAAATAAGAACGAAAACTGAGATTTCCAAAGAGCCTTCGGGCTAGTTTTCAGAAAAGAGTATTAGCTTTCTAAATGAAGCAAGCAGGGAAACTGAAATTTCCAAGATAGCCTTTGAGATAAGTTTTGAGCACTAATCTCAAATCACAGAAGAAGTGTGTTTTTTTAAACATAAGAGCTAGTTTATTTTGGGAGTAGTATTTAACATCGAATTGGGGGCGGGCATGAGTTCAGATAACTCACGTCTCGATAAAACCATGTAGCCATCATGGGTAGAAATGGGTCATACTTTTTAGATGAACCCTTTTCGAAATAGACTAGTGGATCCATTAGGTAGTTCAGGTCCTATACCTTTGGCCAGGTATAGGATGCGGTGGCTGTGAGGTAGATCGATGTATCATCACTATAGCTCTTAAGTGATGGTTGTCGGTTAGAGAAGCTCCTACAGAAGTTATTGTATTTTTAAATACATCTCAGAGTTATTTGTATCTTGCATACACACAGAGTTGATATTATGTTTTTAAACAACTTTTCTTTATATTGCACTTGCTTTTAAACTGTTTTCTATTGAAAAAAGTTCAGTCATGTTGAGTTGAGTTGAGCTACGTAAGTTCTTCAGATTCTTTCCAGCCTATGTTAATTTACCATTCCAACTCGCATACTCGTACATTCAATATACTGATGCTAGTTGGCCTGCATCGTATTATGATGCAGACACAGGTAACTAGGATCGGCATCCCGACACATCGTTGATCCAGTGAGCAGTCCAGAGTCTGTTGGTGAGCCTCCTTGCTTTCTGGAGGATCCATTTCATTGCTTTGTAGTTTAGTTTATTAGGATGTTATGGGGTCTGTCCCAACATCCATCTCAGTTGTTATTAGAGGCTTCATAGACAGTCAGATGTTCATTTTTTGTCTTTTCATTGTCATTATTCCATGTTGAGACTTGAGTTTGCCTTAATGGCTAGTTGAATGTTCCTTTATAACATTCCAATTTATTATATGAACTTATCTTTGTTTAGTTTAAGTTTTTCGCTGAGTTAAGTAAGTCAGGCCAAGGGTTCGCTTAGGGCCAGCAATGGTCTTTGTGTGCCAGTCTTGCCCAGGGTGTAGGCTTGGGGCATGACAAACTTGGTATCAGAGCACAGAGTTCAAGAGTCCTAGGGAGTCTATGAAGCAGTGTCTGTAGCGTCCTAGTTATCGGTGTGAAGCCTGCCACATCTATAATTAGGAGGCTGTAACATTTAGGAACTATCCCACTTCTTTCATACTCATTTCATGCGTTAGAGTTTAATCTCTAAAAAATTCCCTCTAATTCGTGCTTGTACGTGTTTCAGATAATCATGCCTCCACGAAGAACAGTCAAAGGTCGTCCAGCTAGGAGGAACGTTGAGGAGCAAGAACTACCCAATGCACCTGTGGTGCAAACGCAAGGAGAAGTGACCAATATCTGAGTTCAGAGAGGCAATTAGGATGTTGAGTCAAGTTGTGACCAACCAAGCTGGGTAGCAGAGAGGAGCTCGGCAAGAAGAGGCTGACACTTCAAGGATTCGAGAGTTCTTGAGGATGAACCCTCCAAGTTTCACTGGTTCGAGCACTACTGAGGATCCGGAGAACTTCATTGAGGAGTTAAAGAAGGTATTTGAGGTGATGCATGTTGCTGATACTGTGAGAGTTGAGCTAGCTGCATATTAGATGAAAAATGTTGCTAGGACTTGGTTTGATCAATGGAAAGGAGGTAGAGCTGAGGATGCACCACATGTGAGTTGGGCATGTTTTGAAGAGACCTTCTTGGGGCGTTTCTTTCCCCGGGAACTGAAAGAGGCTAAGGTGCATGAGTTCCTCACACTTAAGCAAGATTCTTTGAGTGTGCATGAGTATGGGTTGAAGTTCACCCAACTGTCTCGCTATGCTCCTGAAATGGTTGCGGACATGAGGGGTAGGATGAGTTTGTTTGTTGCTGGTTTAGGCCGTCTATCAAGCAAAGAGGGCCGGGCAGCAATGCTTATTGGGGACATGGACATTTCGAGGTTGATGGTCAATCTGCAGCAGGTAGAGGAAGAGAAGCTGAGAGATAGGGAGGAGTTCAAGAACAAAAGGGCTAAGATAGGGAATGAGTCCGGGCAACAGAGGAGTAATGCCAACCGATTGTCTTTCCAACAGAAACAAAAGGGACCTGCTCCATCATCTGCTAGTGCACTTGCACCTAAGAACAAGGGTGAGTACTATGGTCAGAATTCCAGAGCTAAACCTGC